CGTCATGCTCAACTGGACTAGACAACCTAAAAGAGAGAGAAACCACTTCTGAACAGCGGAAAGAAAACCCTGATATTAGCCCTTTAAACTAGTGCACTGTCAGCAAGAACAACACAGGAATTCCTGGGATCCATCCTCTATAGCTTGATGACAGTTTTGTTAGCAAAGACTGAAGTGTGAATTTGTATTGGTATCTTTGAAGGGCTCTTTGAACTCGGGCTTACCACAGTCATCTTGCTTTCCTCCCAGGGACTGATAAATCATTGAATCATATTATGGTTTGAAATACTCCACATAGCTTTCAGTACCTGTTATTTAAAGATGGATGCACATGTGTCAACGTAAAAGTGCAACTGAAGAGCTATCTTCTTACCCTGACCATCATGCTAGCAAAAAAAGACCTATGTATTATGGATTTCATACTTGTGCAATCACATATATGGTGGCATTGTAGAACAAAACTGGTTGGGGTTTTTTGGTTTTAGTCAGACTCAAGTTGTGGAGAAAACATTCTAGAATCTTTTAACATTTTGGCATTGCTGGATTACTTATTAACAACTTGTTGCCTTAATCCCAACATACACAACCTTGCATTGTTTAAATTAATTATCTGCAAAAGTCCAAGACCCATCATCCACAGAAGCTCTACACAAAAGCACCTACTATGATACTTATCTAGCTGGGTTAATCACTTATTATTCAGTGCTAGTAATACTGAAATAATTTCAGTTGTGACTTCAGTAAAAGAAACCAAAGCCCAGGTCCTTTGTAACAATATCATTATACTTAATTTAATATAAATCTACCCTTGCATCTGGCGACAGCATAGTTCAATAGATTTTTATATTAAGAGCTTTTAGTATCTCACTTTTCAAATCACCCATCCCACCAATTTCCTGTAAATTCTAATTTGCCTATAAAATAAATATTTGCCATCCCTACTTGAGCCAGATCACACAGGCACCTAAGTCCATATATGAAGAAAAAGCCTTTGCATTTTGCAAAAATTTACCTTCAAAAAACTACAGTTTTAAAGAACTGTCTAATAGGTCATTATAAAATGAGCAACACGTGTACAAACACGGCTGTAACATTAGCTATGAAATGGAGCCCATGCTAACTGAACAGGCTTTAGGTCCTAGGTCTCAAATCCAGGCAAGCGTAACCGCTTTAGCTCTGCCTTATCAATGATCTCCCTAACACATTTCAAATTAATCAAGTGTTTATATGCTTTACTAGATCAGGGTGCTCAGATTTCCTTTTCTTTACTGAGTTTAAACACAGCCCATGACGTTGCCCAGGGGACAGCAAGTCTGGAACAGTCACCTTTTGACCACAGCAATAAAGTGTGAAATCGTTCGTATTTACTCACAAAAGCCTCCCAGTGGAAACGGCATCAGGACTCCTGACGGCTCTGCAACCTGGGGTTCAAAATGAGGAATTAAGAAACTGATTTTACAATTAAGCATTCCACTGGCAAGGACATGATCAGAACCTGATACAATTCCTGGGTGCAGGTGAAGCCTTGGCTCCACACCAGAACTAGTAACAAAACTTCCAACGTTGCACTATGTTACCTCCACCTGCTGAAGTACTTCCTGAGAATGCAAGGCTGCCTACAGGAGCAGTGACCTCTTGCTCATTTTATGTTCTTCTATGACTTGTTTTGATCCACTTTACTGCTTCCAACCCTGGAACATCTGTGTGAAGATCCATTGTCAATTACTGGGAAGTCATGCTACTTTACAGAGCACCTACACAGTGATTTTCAAAACCAGTAGAAGCTCATAGGAGATACAATCCCTCCCAGTGTGAATGTGACACTCCACTTATGACTGATAGGTGGAGGAAAGGTGCAGAATCCTAAAACGATGCAGCAGCCAGGAATTTGAAGCGGTCATTTCTTCCAATCAAAGGTTCTGCAAAAACAAGGGGATGAAAATAAGCTGAGGTTGAGCCTCGTATTATTTTAGCAGCATAGACAGAAAGATGCAAGGTCTTGGATTGCTTCTAGTGAGTAATTCAAGATTCTGCAACCTGATCTACTGTGACATTTCATGAGCAGGAAAATCCAGGAGAGAACTTAATAAGAAACTACAGAATGCTGTTTAAGCTACAACAAGTGGTAAGATTTTATCTTCCTAACATCTGAGAAAGAATGGTGTAAATTAATTATTTGCTGTAATGGTATGAAATTACAGGTTTTTGTAGCATACAATCTTAACTTATGCTACAAGGCCAGACTATTTTATTGTGTGGTGATATCCTGTTGGAAATAACCCAAGCAATATTTCTCTTCTTTGCTCAGCAAAACCATTATGTTGATTGAATTGGAGCCAATATGTACACTCAGGAGCTATCCTGCCTTCACCTGATTTGTAATTTGATTAGGACAGAACTGCATTGACAGTGCTAGATAAGCTACAGCAAGGGCCTCATCTTAAAGCTGCTATTTAGGGGTTGTAAATGCACTTCTAGTCGGCCATCTCCAAATTAAATGTTGCTCTGATCCTGAAGACAGGATAAAACTTTCTGCAGAAAACTTTATGGAAGAAAAATAACACTATCCTGGGGGGGAGAGTAACAGCTTTAATTATTTATTAGTATTTTCTAAAATCTCTGAACTAGAATTCCAGTAAGTACTCAGTTTGACTGTTCTGGCTAAGGCATCTGAGAGAAAAAACTTCTATACCTCAGTTTTTACTGCTACAGTCCCATTTCTGAACCAAATACACATTTCAGATTTATTTAGCCCTTCATCCTGGGTGCAAACATGAGATCCTGAAGGACATCTCTTCTTGGGTTACCATAGGAACCCCTGTCAAATTGCCATTTCTCACCATTCAAGCCAACAAAAAACTTGTCAATGATGTGTTACAGCAGAATCTATCCATCAATTTTTTCACACTCCATTAATAAAATTGCTATGGATGCCCATCTCCATATGATTATGTCACTACAAGCAAATAAATCCTAAAATAGCAATAAATTTGCACTCAAGTAATTACATTAACATGCCTTAGTGGTGATCACTTGCTTTTTCAGAAAACCTATTATAAAAAATACTTACATAAGAGTATATGGCTCTGCAACTAGATCAGAGCCCCAAGAAACATCTGTAAGCTAATTAAAAATTGATCATTTACATTAAAGTGCTGTCCCATCATTGAACCACTAATGAGCTTCTGGTAGCTTACAAACTGTCAAACTTCTTGCTCTCATAAGACACCTCCACATGGCAAGGTCAGCTGGAAAGATTAACAACTAATCCATTAATCCACTAGTTTCATACCAATCCATTGCAGAGGTCCTCACAGAAAGAGCTGGGCACAGAGTTCTACATCCTGAAGTTAATGTGCAGACTTTGTGAAGTCCATGTTCTCCTACTTAGCAGAAACACAGTTTAACACTCCATGCATTTTACAGAATCCAGACTTCTAAGTGTGTCTAGTAAAATTAGTATCAAATAACCATACAGGAAATGATAGTGCATGAACCATTAACATTATTTTCTGCCTTTAAAAAACCCAACCTTCAGTGAACCAAAAGCTTTACATTCTTTAGAATATGGAAATAATCTATAAACAGCATTAAGAAAACATTCTAGTAAGTCATGGCAGTGGCCTTGCTGGGAGTTTTGTCTTTCATGAGGGCTGTGCCAGGTGTCTGTTTTATTTAAATACTAGAATAAATAGGAAAATAAACTGTTAAATAAATACAGCATTAAAAATTAACAGCTTTTGCTCTGTATGTCCTATGATAAGTATTAGGCCACAGAAAGTCAGGTACTCTTAGCAGACATTCATTAATTATAGCCCGTGTTGTATATTAAATATTCATAAATGTTTGGCACTTGATTTACACACTGATACAGAAGTAACAAGCACAGACCCATCAGGGCCAGTGTGGAGCCTAGATGTCTTGGTGATAGAAGAAGCGAAATGCATCAGACCAGCTCGTGCACCCAGTGTTTGTGATCAGCTGATGAATACTCACACACTCATACTAGGTTTTGTCTCTTTTGTCAGCTCAAATGAACATCATTTTCCCAAGTAATTTCCTGAATGGGACAAAATCTGATCTCCTGAAGTTCAGGGTTGTGATGCCTCCTCTCAGAATCCTCAACTTCAACATCCCACAGCCACTGGAGGCAAAGATGCCTCAAACCTTCACATTCCTGACAAGTTCTCCCTTCTTTGTACTTACCAGACCCAGCAAAGAGCCTCCCCTTGTCAGCTCCTCTACCAAGTGTCAGAAAGTTACCAGTGCACTTCAGAAACTCCACTGACTGCCTGTGCCCTGGTGGTGTTGCCCTTCCAGCAGGTTTCAGGGTGGTTCAGGTCTCCCTGTGAGACCAGGCCCTGGAAGCATAAGGCTTCTTCCAAGTGCCTGAGGAATGTCACACACTTCTTCCTGCCCAGGTGGTCTGTAGCAGATGTCCACCATAACATTGCCCACCTTCCTTTCCCATTTTAATCATAACTCACTAGGTCTCAGCTGGCTCATCATCAGATGGGAGGGAAGGTTGATCTCCTTGAGGGTAGGGAGGCTCTGCAGAGGGACCTGAACAGGCTTGGTCAATGGGCTAAGGCCAATTGCATGAGCTTCTTTAAGGCCAAATGGCAGGTCAACCTGACCTGCACTTCAACCACAGCAACCTCCAGCTTGGGGGGTTATTTTAACTACACAGAAGAATTCCTTCAACAACAAAAGAGGACAAAAGGAAGAAACAATCTGGTGCTTTTTATTGGCATTGAGGTACACTTCCATTACAATTGGCTAAATATTACTTTTTCTTGCTTTTTTGTTTTCTGTTCTTTTTTTTACTAAAATACAACATATAAAAAAACACATTAAAAAGCTGAACAATCAATTTGGTGTAAATATAAAACCTGTTCACAAAACCTTTTTTTTAAGAAGCAGTCTGGTTTTGGACATGTAACTATATATAACTTCATATAAATGGCTCAGTTCACTTAAGAATAGTTTTGTTTTCTGTACTATAACTGCTTTCTGCACAAGGATCCAATACCAAGGTTGTTCTTGGGCTTATAAATTACTGTACGTGTAGACGCACGTGGCCGGTAAGACACAGGTCTCTTACTCTTCTTCACGGTAAGAACATTATCTTCCTTTGGAGGAGGTGCATGCACAGGCTTCCAAGGAATGGGGTTATAATATGCTGGAACTGGATACAAATTTCCACCAGCATACCCTAAAACATTTAGAAAATACCCATAACTAAAAAGAAATATTGATGCTACGAGCTTTACAATGCAAGTAGTTATAATAATCATCTGGACTAATAAAAACAAGTGTCTTTAGAGAAAGCCAGCAGAGGCACATCACATAGTTAAATGATTTAAAGTAATAAGTCTTCCACTTTTTTTAACTAATAACTGCCTCTATTAAAAAAAAGCAGATCAAATGTTGGGTCACATTCAGAATGCTGAGTCTTTTGTCCACTTAAGAGCTGTAAATGGCTATGAATTGGCTACTTTGCATTATTTCAAAGCATTTATAACTAAAACTTAACTGTCACCATATACACAAAGCTAACATTTTTCCAACTTGGCTTAACTGTTATTCTTCATTTTTATTGAGGAGAAAAAACACACTAATTACCCACTTATATATTAATCATCTGCAAGTAACAATCAAGGGCCCAAAAAGCAATCTCAGAAAACTTAAAATGCAAGAGAAGGAACATGTTGCCCTATCAGTCATTTGTCAGTCAATCAAAGTCTGACTGCAATTCCAGTGCATGAACAAGACTGAGTAGAGAAATGTTTTTCAAAAATCACTTAAACAAGTGATTGCAGCTGTTGGGAAGTAATGAAGGCCCAAAAACCCCACAATGGCAATGTGTATCACCCTCTATAAACAACTGTAAGCAAAAGAGCAGGAACAGAAGCAAAGAAGGTGCACTGCAGTTGCAAAGCTACATGGGAAGGAAACTTTAGCTCAGAACACAGGTTGATTCCCTTGTCTCCTCTTTCAGCCAATATTCCTGTCAGCCTCTTATTAATCTTTGTGTCTTAAAAAACGACCTCTTTCCTAAGGGGTGTTCAGGTGGTGCACACCTTCTGTAACACAAACAGTAACTTTGCAGGGATGCTGACACACCACTGATTTGCTTCACAGGAAGCAGTGACTGGCTCTAGTGATTCCTATGCCTGATAAGGCAATCACAGTATGCCATATTATTCTTAAAAAAATATATAATTTTACTTCCAAATAACATAAATGCCTACAAAAATGCACAAAAAGGTCTTGGAGTAAAAGCTTCTCTACCCATATGAGACACTAATTCTCATGTGTCAAAATTAGATACAGCATTAAAATCTTCAACAGGATTCATTTTACCTTAAAAAAGAATTAGAAAGAAGGAACCACAAACCTAAGTCACTACATACATGTAGTGGGAGTACAAACCTGCAGACTTCCAACGTGGGAAGCCATATCCATTTAAAACAGGGCGTGGTTTATTTCTGGCATTATGTAGCCATTGCTTAAAGATCTTCTCTGATTTCTCTTTCTTCTGCTGCTGTTCAGCTTCCCTTTCTTTTTCTTTTTCCTAAAAATTTAAAAAATAAAATAAGATTCTTACAGACAAAGCCCTGTACAATACACACAAAATGGTATATAAATCTTTTGCAGATCCCCAGGCTGCTGAATGTATTTCAAAGATGTTTTCTAACATAAATACATTTTCCTGCAAACAGAAAAGTGGCATTTTTTTTTCCCTGTAAGTCTTAAAAAAAGTACTGCAGAAAATCATTAACCTAGTGTTTGAGAAAAAGGTCCCAGAAACCTTTTAGAAGATTATACGCAGTACAGAATATTTAAGCGTGTTGTAGTTATATGGTAGATTTTTAAAGACTACAGAATTAAGGTCAAGGCCTAAAAATTGATTATGGTGGCTTAAAAGATAATCCAGGTAAACTGTTACACATATTTGCAAAATGCTTATAAATGTGTTCTGCACTTCAAGATTAACTGCTGCAATTACAGGGGGAATACAGATAAATTCTTCTCACCCTGATCCTCCCTCAAACCTAGCTACAACAGTACTATAGCACTCCTATAATATTACATATTCTAGTGAAAAATTATGCTGTAATGTTAATTAAATCAAAATACAAGCAATCAACCTGACAGATAAGACAAATTTCATAGTTTTCAGGCATAATTATTACCAATATGTGACATTTCAGAGCAATTTTGGATTATTCCTGCAAGCATAGCCCTAATAGAGCATTTGCTCTAGTGAACTAGTGGAGCTCAAAGCCCATACTTTAGGAAGCTTATAACAACAGATCTTCTGAAGTTCACTATAAAAATACACAGGGGATTAAGTAATATGAAATAGCATTAAAATTAGAACTCCTAGCATCAGATTGGTACAGACAAATACGCAAAAATGCTTCTATTTGATATATGTGAAGCATAATAATAACATAGTAGTGGTGCTGGGAGAAGGATGAACATAATACTGCCTATTTTCTGTCTGGGTCACCCTGCAATGGACTGTGAGGCTTGTATTTATCTTTTCCTTATGTCATAATTGTAGTGGGTTTGCAAAGACCATCAAAAAAGGCATTGATATAAATCTTGCTTTTCTGACCATACCTCAATGCACTAACACTGCTACTTTTGAGTATCTCCCTCATGTACAACACTGCCATTTGATAAATTCTAATCAATTCAATCAACCAATTTAAGTTCCAGGTTATGTAACCCCAACCAAATAAATCACTAGTTGATTGATACCTTCTCTTTTTTCTTCTTTTCTGCCTCTTCAGCTCTCTTCTTCTTTAGCCATTCTTTATACTTCACTTCAGCCTTTTCTTGCAACTGCATTTTTTCTAGTTCCCTGGTGGCTTTTTCTACCATTTCTTTGTTCAGCTTCTCTTCCCTTTCCCGTCTCTCCTAAATGAAATAGATCAACAACACAGAACAGAAACTGTTCAGTATATTTCAATGACCAATTCTTTTGAGGAATACAGTTAATTTTATTATTTAATTACGAACAAAATTATCATAACCCTGAAAAAACCCCATAGTGTAAGCTCTTTGAAGACAGGACCTATTCATCACTAAACAGATAAAACAGTCTTAAACATAACAAGTTGTTATAAAACATAAAAAAAATTACTTTCAGGACTCCTTGTGCTATTATTATGCTTACTACATTGTTTTATTTAAGTCAGACGTTTTTTAAAACACTTCATACACCTCAATATTTCTGGGAAAGAAATATATATTGCAATTCCTGGCAACAGTGTGTTAGTTTTACTTTGCAGTGAATCCAGAGCAAACTACAGCTCCAAATGGAAGTCAGGCAAACTGCCCCCTTCCAAGAGTCACTGAGACATGCAGATTGTTCAGCATATGTTTAACCATAAATTGATACAAAAATAAGAAGTTCTCATGACAATCCAGTCCATGTTTTGTGGTATTCTCTAGAGTTTTAACATGCTTTAGTTTATTCTCACAGGGACTTCATCTAGCAGTCAATCCACACATTTCCTCTCTTCAAACTGTGAAAGAGAAAATGAGAAAACACATTCTGGGGTAGGTAAGAAGTGGTAACTGAGTGTGAAGTGAAATTGCTACCTGTCATTTGGGAGATACAATACACAGAGGTGCCATTCACTTTTATGTCTTTCCAGTGTGTGTGTATCTTACAATACACAACATTTTGGGGACCATTCTCTAAGCCAACAAGCACATATGAGATGGAATCATGATCAGGATCAGGAAGTATTTCCATTTGAAGACTAACAATAGCTCTCACTTTTCTTCCCTGTAACCTTTAGAAAATGTCTGGGATGCCACTGACTTCAGTACTACTTCTGCTTAGCTCTGAAGAACCTGTACACACATGTAGAGGCAAAAGACTTCAGATCAAACAGTTTCCACTTTACAGAAAGGAACTGTTGAATAAAAGTGTTTTTCTTTTAAGAAATCATCTTCTTGTATGCTCCCCTGCATGCTTCCCTTGAAGAAAGGAGATGTGTAGTATAACAGGAACTTATGCTGACTCAGAGTTACTACAGCTGGCAGTATGGATGTCAAATGCCTAGAAATACAACTGTAAAGTATAACAAATAGATGGAAAAGAGGACAAACACATTTACAATAGCAGGAATATACTTTCCTTTCTGTTTTACCTCTCACAAGCACAAAAAGGCAGAAAGCTAGAGCTCTGCCCTGCTGCCCCCATGGGCAGTTATAGATAATGAAGCAGAAGCCATAATACTGGAGCTGGGGACCAGCACAACTCTTGCAGTTTGTTCTAAGCAGGATCTCTGCTGGTTCAATCCTTGTCCTTCATACCAGAATTACCAGTAAACCAATAAAGTTGCATCATGAGAGATATATGCTAAAACAGCAAATTAAAAACATTGCCTAAGAAGGCTTAGAAAGATTTCAAGTCTTTTGTTGTTAATCTCCATTGTACATAAAAGTAAGTTACAGGAGTAAGGACCTTTCAAAACTACAGCCTTTAGCTAAGGGTCTTATCATGTGAAAAGCATGAAAATATATATATATGAGAAAACTGAAAAAATAGCCCTTCCATACCTAGGGGAATTGTTCAGTAATGGACAATTATAAGCAGAAAACAGACAAAGAACTTTTCTAGAGACTGTAATTAAAAGGCAAGGAAGCTTCTTAAATTACATCTCTCTAATCACCATACTTCAGATTAGTTCAGCTGACTACCTAGGCTGACCTGAAGTTAAATTAGGTCCTGTGTAAACAAAGATATGACATGCACACTTCCATGAAAGCCACAATTATTGCTAAGTTTTACTTCCAGTGAGACATCCTTAAGAGGGGGAGAGTCCCTGCAGAATTGCAGACTTTGCAGCTGCCTAGAAATTATTGTGCAGTCAAATCAGAAATGCTTCCTCTTTCTCTTGTGCACAGAACAGCTTTTAGTTCATAAAGTTGGTGCACACCACATTCCCAGCTGCTTTAATAACCTGCTTCATGTCAAACTCCTGTCACCCTGGCCTGTCCAGCTTCCCCAAACCTCATCGCTTTCCCTTATATAAGTCTATCAAAAATGCTGGGAATGTGCATAATAATGTACATGTTCTTCAATCCTCTCTTCACTCTCCTTCCACACATATACAGGGGGAGGGAAATTATGTAATTTATGCTTGGTATTGTCAGATTGGGTTCTAAAAATTCTCTTTAATCTTGTGTTCAAAACAGACACAATCTATTCACTAAACCACTAGTAAATTTACATCTGCTTTAAAACATGATTACATGTATTACATAAATTAAGGTATTGATTGTAAACTACCCAACTACTCATTGCAAGAAAGGCTTGCTCTCCTGCCACCCCACCCAAGCACACTATTGAGGAGAAAGGATACAGATCTAGCCTGCAGGTTCACTGCTCTGGGCTGTGATCCTATCAAACCTCCAAGCCTAATGAAGCCTTGGCTAGGTCAGCACTTAGAAATCCCCCACCCAAAACAAATCCAGCCACCCCACAAGGCAGTGAGGGTGACTCAGTAGGCAGCGAAGGTGACTCAGTAGGCAGCATGTACCTGAGTTAGTACCAAACCAACATCTCATCAGCAAAACTACTAACTTTTCCAGAAAAATCAGACTTATGTACATGTGGAGAATTGTCAAAGGAATTTAACATTCGAAGCATTTTCCTTCGTTCCTGACAGGAGGTAGAAATAGTTTTTCAAGCAGAAAAAAGACCAATTACCATTGAAAGAGAGAGACTACATCCAACTGGAAGAAAATTAGTAAAATAGATATTTCTCTACTTTCACATCAATGATTAAATGAGAAGTTGGAAAGGGTAAAGTGCAGAGCTGCTTTCTGTTCTGTATTTTCTATGAGGAGTGTCACTGAGCAGAAAACTTTCCAGAAATTAATGTTGTGGATTTTATTTTTGCAGTACTTCTCATAGCAATCCTTCCCATTTTCTGGTCTGTAAGATGTGGCAACAGTTTTCTTTTCATAGGTAACTGATGGATCTATTTCACAGCTGTTTGCTTTGACATCTTAGCTACAATATTCTAGCATCATTTTGACTGATGGCAAAACACAGGAAAAGTCATAATATAGAATCACAGAATGGTTTGGGTTGGAAGGGACCATAAAGATCTTCTAGTTCCAACCCCCTGCACGGGCAGGGACACCTCCCACTAGACTAGGTTGCTCAGAGCCTCATCCAACCTAGCCTGGAAAGCTTCCAGGGATTTAGCTTCCACAACTTCCCTAGGCAACCTGTTCAAATGTCTCATCACCTACACTGAAGCATTTCCTCCTAATGTCTAACCTGAATCTCCTCTCTCTTCCAGTTCTGACCCATTACCTCTCGTCCTCTCACCACACTGCAAACATCAGAACATCCATCCAAATTTCCTCATTTATCCTCATAATAATCCTGACTGTCAATCATATTTAGCAGCCTCAGAACTGTGGGTTGTTCAGCCAACTGTTATTATCTTTTCAATTTAGCTCTATTACACAGTCAGTCACCAAGCCTAGCCCACAGAAACACTTCTTTAATGCCAGAACTGGCATGTGAAAAGAACAAGAAGCTAGAAAGGAGGTCAGAGAAGCAACATTGAGCTGCAGTTGTCTACTAGTCTACTGATAGGCAGGTTTACAGTGATTGATTGCTCAAGTTCTCACAAAATCAATGCAGCCTAGTAAGTGGAGAGTTGTAAGATGGTTACATATGTGAATCTTTCTCAAACTGTTTTATTTCACATGTGTACTAAATATTTGTGACAAAGCAGGAAGTCTCAGTGTACTTGGTCCCTGAACACTCTCAGGATCTTCAGAAGAATGCAGACCCCATAAATGCCCCTGAAAGACACAAACACTTATATTTTAATAATCTGCCAACCTGAATTCCTCCTCCACAAGTCTATGGAAAACTCATTCTAACACTAACCATGAGAAATGAGGTAATTCTGCTCACAGAAGTCTAAAGGTAAGTCTGGATACAATTAAGATTCAGGTGTGACCTAAAATTATACCCCTGGCACTGGCTGTGCACAACCTCACAGACAAGTTTTGTGCAAAGTTCTCCAGGTCTAGATAGTGAAAGCCCCACAATATGCAGGGGAAAAAAACACAACAACAACCCTTAAGAAATTAAGACCAGTTACAAAAATTTTAGATATGTAAAGACAGACTTTGGCACCTAAACAGAAACTTTAAATTCTGAAATGGTGCTGGTTCTCAGGGTCAGAAGGCATTTATGCTAGATATTTAGGCTTCTCTCACAAACACATCCTTGAAAGGGTGCAGGCTTGAAAAAGGTGAACACCTCAGAATGCCTTTCAAGTCTGAACTGTCAGCAAAAACCAGAGCACATCAGGCTCTATGTAAAATGTAGCAGCAACCACAGCTTTGACTCAGAACAATAGTTCAGCTGTTACAACATTAACCTAGGACAGGGAAGATGTCATTACCTCTCTGCCTGAAGGAATTCAAACTAATGTGTCCCACTGTGGGGAGAAAAATCCATCTACCAGGCTGCAGGCTGGGATGACTGGATTCTCCACCCCTGTTGAAGAGGTACCACTCCTCACTAAATAATTAACAAGTCATTGGATGAAAGAAAGAACATGAGTGAGCGTGATTTTTTTAACTTGAAAGTCATGCTCCAGCTGCTGAACAATCTGTCTTCAGTAATAGGAACAGTGAGATAAATACAAATTAAACAGTCTTTGGAGTAAGAGTTGGAATCAAAGTCTTTCTTCTGGGAGGAAACACACAGCACCTCAAGAAAGGGAAGGGTGCTGCAAAAACAGTCATTCATGATTTTATAATGTGTTGGTTCTAGGCTTTCATATTTCTTACTACTTTTTTCATCCAATAAAGACCATCAGACAACAGTAAAGTAAGTCAGAAGAACAGAATTTTCAGTGAAGAAGCATCAAAAGAATTTTCCCATTAGAGACCCATTTTTCCATTAAAATTTTGTTTTTCAGTAGGTAATAGGGACTCACTAAAAGAAAAAACAAAACAACAGGAAAAAGTTGAACAACAAAGTTCTATGATTAATGTCTGCTTTGCTCATATTTACTTTTAAGAAAAAGTGATGCCTTATTCTCTATTCAATAGTGCAGAAAGTATTTGAAAGGCTACAGTCAAATTAATATGGGTATTAGAATAATTAGTTTTTCTAATGTAAAATGTGTAACTTCACTACTTGTGCCCTTACAACTTTGTTAGTTGTAATATCATACACTAAGATAGCATAAAAGTATTATATGCAAGTTAAAGACTAAAGACAGGGATGTTAACATGAGTTTTAGAATGAGTTACTTTGGGATGCAAGCATTTGGCTTTTGAGATGACAGTTATTGTTGTAAACACACATATTACATATATGTACTAGTTTTTGGCTAGGATGGAGTTAATTTTCTTCATAATGGATCCTGTGGTGCTATGTTTTGGACTTGTGACCAAAACATGGTTGATAACACAACAGTGGTTCAGTTATTGCTGAGCAGCACTTACAGGGCTCAAAGGCTTTTTCTGTTCCTCACCCTGGAGTATTATGGCAAAATACATGACAAACTTACAGGTCTATTTCACCTCTTAACAGCTTTACTCCCCCAGATGTTAACAGATTTACCCACTTGTGGTTAGTGTAACTTCAAAAGTAAAAACAAAAAGAAGAATTCACAAGCATTAATCCTAACCTGAAGAAACTGACAGCGGTTGAGTTTTCAACACCTATTTAAGATTTAGTTTTGTGATGAGATGGGCATCGAGGTCATCAACTCCCTTATTTTTAAACTTCACTCTTCAGTTCTGAGTTGCCTACACAAAGCCCAGAGCTCCTTCCCAAACTGGAATCTAAATACAGCAATTAGAAATCAGGCAAAGATTTTTAACACACCAGAAGGATTAAGACAGATTCTAATGGCTTTGCTGAGCCATGCTCAGTTCTGCATACTGCTCATATCAAGGCTACTTTAATACTGAAAACACAATTAACACCAAGTTGGCTGGCTCAGCATTTATAATAATGCATTCTCCAATTTTATCAATAAATCAAATTAACTGTAACTCAGAAATTAAAGGTTTAGTTACATAAAAAAAATCATGTTGCATTCCAGTAATTATTTTTTTTTTTCTGGAATCAAAAGCATGTTTGGAGATATTTTAGAGCTAAAATACTTTAATATTCTTGTGACTTGTTAAAAAGAGAGCTCTATTACATCTAAAACAAGTCAAATAGAAAATTTACTGTTTGCTCACAAATGACTCAATCTTAGGAGAGAAAGCAAGACTACTTTTGTCCAGCAGAGATCTAGTATCTTACCAAAAATTGTAAAGGCATTAGTAGAACCAACATAGTGCCTGACAATTTTATGATGCTTTTCATTCCTAATGAGCTTGAAATTTTTTCCATATTTGCATAAACACATTTCACAGCTTAAAATGTTCTTTTATAGCTCATATTTCAATATATTACTTTTAGTTAACTTACAACCTATACAATCACAAAGACTATTCACATGAAAGAATATTAAATGGTTATTATATTCTTTTCAGAAGCAGTTTATGC